TTATTTTTTAAGTTTACACTTTTTACATAATCACTGATGTTGAGAAATAAAACTTCATTATGTTTTATGGATTTAATAGTTAATACTTTACTAATTTACTAATTTTTGAACTTTGAAATGTTTGCGAATTGTATAGTTGGACGAGAGGACATTTTTAAAAAGAATAAAGGGACATGAAACAAAGATATTATTTACCACAGTCTATCTGATCAATATTAAGGACCCCACCCATTATAGTGTATATGTAAGTTAAATTGCTATATAAGTTATTTTAAAAATAATAAACTTTGAGTTTTTACCCTGAATTTTGTTTCAACGTAAAACATTTTCAAAATATTTAGAAAAGACAAACTTTGGGTTGAAGAGATTTTTTTTTCATCTCCGACCAACAAAAAAGTCTACAAGAAAATATATATTGATGATGCATTAAAGTCTGCAGTGTCCATATACTTGCATCATAACTCAAAAAAAAAATAGAAATAATAAAAACTAGAGGTACTGTGAGCAATGAGCTCAATTAAGGATACCCCCCGCCTCCCATATGAATATAATGGCAGTGTCCATGGTTTGTTGTGGGAAACCCAAAATATGTGTCAGATCAAAAAGTAAAATAGAAGGTGCACAATGGCAATATGTAATAAAGATTCTTTGGAAGTTTCATCAAATTTCATTCAGTGGTATGAGAGGAGTTGCGGATTAGAGATGGGTACCCCAAAGCGTAACAGACGGACGGACGGACGGACATACCGATTACTATATACCCTCCCGCTTTTCAAGTTGGGGGTATAATAATGGATTTTCAAACAATTCGTCAGCTTGAAATGAGAGACCCTACATGTATGTACATAACTACATAAAGTAAATTAAGCTGGATGTCATTTTGAATATCATAGACAACAGATGTGCAGTTTCACGGTAAATGATTAGTTGTCTTAAATTTCAACATTCTGTCAGGATACCCGTTTCATATTACATTGTAGCAATACTGCATCTATATTTTGATATCTGTTACAAACATTTTACAGTACATGTAACAGGTGTACACATAAATGCGTTGTTTTACGATAAGTATCTACAAAGCCTTTTCATATTAGTAATAAGAGAGAAAAATAATAATGATCTGCAGTCATTTTTGTAAGGCAATATATGTTTTAAAATGACATGATATAAAAAAAATTAACACAAAAAGAGTATTTTTATATTCAGCTGAAATAAATGATAATCAACCATTGGGCCTTTTTTGTATAAACGTAGGGGATATTATTTGGACCCATCTTTATACAGAAATAGAGTTTTATTAAACACAATGAAAAAGCAAAGTGTTTTTTTTTCAAGTTAAAAAAATAATTGAAAACTCTTTTCATAGTTTATATCTCCCCAGTCGTTGTACACATTGTATATCAGACATCATACTTTTTATACCCCCAGCTTGAAGAGGGAGGGTATATAGTAATCGGGATGTCCATCCGTCTGTACGTCCGTCCGTCTGTTACGATTTGGGGTACCCATCTCTTATCCGCAACTCCTCTCATACCACTGAATAAATTTGATAAGACTTTCACATAATCTTTGTTACATATTTCCAATGTGCACCTGTTATTCTACTTTTTGATCCAACACATAATTTGGATTTCCCATATCAAAACATGGACACTGCCATTATATTCATAAGGGAGGCGGGGGTATCATTTAGTGAGCTCATTGCTCACAGTACCTCTACTTTTAAAAATGAAAACGATGACACGAACAAGGACATTTCACCAGTACTGTTACGTACAGTAAAACTTCTTGAAAAGAAGTATATATGATCTTGAATACATGATTTTTTTTTCTAAACGAGATTTTCTTTGTTCCTATAAGAAAGCGTTATAACCATAACAATATAAAAGAGGGCGGAATTTTGGATATAAATCTCTAAATCTTTGAGAATAAAGAAAAAAATTAAATTCTCAAATAAAAAGAAAATAAAAAAGAAGCAAGAACTGTCACTTTAATTATAATGACTACAAACTGTACATATTAGTAGTCGTCACCTAGTAAATACGTTTGAAAAAAAGCACAACTTGCAACAGCTTTTATTAATAATTACTTAACTTTTTGCTTAATGTATTTAAATTTTGTAAATATGTTTGGTTTTTAGCCGGGCTCTGCTGAAAGCAAAGTCCTGCCTATAGGCATTATGATCGACTGTCTTACTATAAATAGCACAGTAAACAAAGAATTAAACAGCGTCAACGCAGACGCTTCCGATAAACAAAATAGTCGTATTGCGAGACGATATTCAAACAAATATTTTTAACATCCAAATCGTTGGAAAAGTTAATGATCTATATTTATACTTGAGAACTAAACTGAAAAAGGAATTATATACTTGCTTTATGGGATAATCGTGATATAACAATTTTTGCACATACGCTGCTGAGTGCATATTCCAAGAGAACTATATACAATAGCGCTGGCTTTTCGAAATGTTAAAATTGTTTCATGTTTTATATCGTTTTCGTCGATGTTATGTTAGTGGTTATATTCTGTTTTGATTTTTATCAAGTTTCTACATGCAGTCGGCAATATAAGTACTGTTTCTTTAAAACTAAAAGAATGTCTATAAAATACACATGTGCATTATTTTAACTATTCCAAGACTGATTTTTTAAATTGTGAGGAAAAAATGCTTATTGAATAGAAAATATGCGAGGATTTCAAGGAAATATGATTTATCAAAATTTAAAATCATAACATATCTTGGGGTCTGGACTGCTAATTTTAATTACTGGTATATGGGATATTGTTTTAAATCATAATCATACAAAATCTACCTGTTAAAAATCAATGGCCAAAAGGAAAAAAAATTAAATATGTTTTAGTTTCGGATCAGACAATATACTCGAACAATTAAAGCCCGGCTTTCAGTTCATTCAATACTTTGATTATGGTTGGATTGGATATATCTTTTTAAAGAGATTAGAGACACGAAACAAAGATACATTACTTTCCAAGGGTCTAGCAATATTTAAGACTTCGCCTAGAACAGCCTCTATATGTATTACTTGAAAGGTATATCAGTAATTTTCATAACCATAAAGTTTAAGTTCTTTCCTGCATTTCGTTTCAAAAACAATTTGAGAATATTTAAGAGGACAAAAGTTTGGTTTGGATCAATTTCATTCTTCCTCTCCGGTTTATTAAAAGTCCACTAAAAGATAATAATTGAAAATTAAGATTTCATTTGCATCATAGCACTGATGATTAAAGAAAATGAAAGAAATTGAAAGATTGTAGAAGGATTTTCCGTTGAAGACGGAAGATCTTTAAAAGGAATAATAGAGTAGCAAGAATTTCTTCCCCTTGAAACGAAAGAACCTAAATCCATTGTACATAAACAAAAATTAAGCTTGGTGTCATTCTAAATATCATGATTACAGAACTCAGATGTACAGTTTATGATTGGTTGTCTTAATCAAAACCTTTTGTTTGGGTATCTGTTTCATATCATTATAAATCTATTTTATATCCGGTTTGACCAGAAGTGACGTCGACGGACGGAAAATAAATTTTTTTTGTTCCCTGTGATCGATGTTAACTAAAAACTTGTCAAGAACGGCAAAACACGCATTTTCCGACTACTTCCGGTTTGGCCGGAAGTGACGTCATCGGACGTTTTTGACGACCCTAATAGATTAAGTTTGACATTTTAAACAACTTTGCTTCTTTTATGTATTACAAATTTTCATGACTATTCAAGATATCAGGAAAAACCTTCTGGCCCCTCTAGATCCCTTATTTTAAGGGTCAGCCCTTTTTTTCGAGATATCATTTGAAAGATCTTGGAATTCTACACTTCTTTTGTTGTATATGATTTATCAAAATATTTCCAGGTAAAAAGATATCGTAGAAAAGGTGTTAAAAGTTTTGAAATTCGCGATAGGACAATTTTCGGGCCATAACGAGCGCCGACGTGCGGCACTTCCGATAAAAATGAAATACATTTTGCACATCTATAGACTTAGGACTATCATACCTGAAATTTTCACGTTTCTATCTATAGCCATTTTTAAGAACATTCGCGGACAACCTGACCGTTCAAAAATCACAAAATCGACAATATTTCCGGACCGGAAGTGACGTCATCAAAACAGAAAAAAATGAATCAAGTTCAAGTAATCTTACATGAGTCCTGAAAGTTTCATTAAAATCCATCGAGCCGTTTTTGAGAAATCGCGTGCACAAAATCGGTAAGAAAAAAAAAGAATAATAATAGGTAAGAAAAAAAGTGAAAAAGAAATCGAAGAATAACAAGAAGGTCTTCCGATGAAGACGGAAGACCTTAATTATAATTGAAATGAAAAATAGAAAAAATGAATAAGTGTAATTAGTGTGTTAAGTTAAAAAATTGAGAACATGCGCCAACCCATAAATGCTTTTGTTTTTGTTTCGGCAGGGGATGCTCACTCCTCCATGGCAGCTGATCTCACCTCTGATGTTTTAGAGATCCGTGTTTGCTCTGCTCCTATTTTGTATTGTTTTATGGACTTTGATATTGAATACTGTTCGTTATCTCCATATCCTTTATTTCTTCGTTCTGAAATTCATTGTATTTTGTTTTTTACAAAGTACAAAAATTATCAACATGAGTAAACATGTGTACCTATCAGTAGCACATTCATGTACATGTAAGGATCTCAGAGAATAAAAAATCATAAAAATGTATACAAAGTTTTAAATACGATTAATTTATTTTTATTTTTCACAAGTAAAATGAATTATTATGCAATTTTCAAAACAGAGGTCCTATTTCTTTACAAAATAAAATGTGTTTATGACAAGTTGAAATCACAAAAATATTTAGCATTTATATACATGTACTACAGGACCTCAAGTACAAGATTTTAAACTAAATATTTCTTTTAGAAAAAATTGAGGCATTTAATTCCAATTTCACTTAAATTCTAAATCCATATAAAGAAACACATTTTTGTTAATAAAGAAAATAATTTGCACATTACGTTTTTTAAATGTTTTAGACATGGTCGGTCAAAGCAAATAAAACATATCAATATGTTTATTTTTTCCTCAAATGCAGATGATGTCATTTAATACTCGTGTTTATGATAAAATCCTATTTAATGAATCCTCAACAATAAACCAGGACATGTAACATACATTTACACACCTCCACGGAGAATTGATACTGCGCAATATAATAAAGGAAAATCACGGTACAAAAGTTAATTTGATTTTTGTAATTTAAAGGAAATGTAGGACAAAGTAAGACTATGATACTATAGTATCAATATCACAATAATATCAAATAACATTCCACTTAAAAGTATTACCCACTCCTTTTAAATAAATGTGTATTGCATTAACCGTGGAAGATTCTTTTAAATTTCCTATTAATAATCAGTTAAGGTGTTATTCAATATCCAAATCAGATGAGGAGGAGGAGGATGATGATGATGATGATGAATCGACATCAGGAAATTCCACCGAAATATTTTCACCGTCCTTTAGCAAACATAAAGCCTTATTTAGTCGAAAACATGCTGTTAAGTTGTTATCATCTTTTCTTTCATGATTTTGCGAACTTTTTTCCAAATTCGAAGTCCCTTCACGAGTGTAAATGATGGTATCTGTATATTCTTTTTCTATGTTGCTGGGATCAGTTATAGCTTCATGATTTTTTTGCTTTTCCAGCACATCTTTTTGACTTAAATCATCGTCAGAAGTTTCTTCGCGGTCATCATAATCATTTCCAAAAACCATTCCTAACACGTCTACACCTCTTTGATCAGGAGATTTATTTCTCGAAAAAACGATCGCTCCACTGTCACCTTCTTTAGAAAACAAAGATCCTGACAGACCGGAAATGAGAAATACCTCCCCTTCCTCTTTGAGATAAAACGGAATACTGACAATTCTTCCTTTTGTCCATTTTGTCTCTGAGCCACATTTATGAACGATGCCAAAACTTTCAAAACTTTCTTTATCAAAAACTTTAGCTTTGCATTTATTCCCTTCATCATTTTTAAAAACGGTTTCACAATTTTTAAGTTCATTTCTATGAATTTTTATAACAGCAAAATCACAAAGTTTGATGCGAGTAGTAAATATGCATTTTCCTATTTCAATAACTTTATCATCTATTAGTGTGTATGCTGGTTTATCAATATCCGGATAAAGATGATTACACGTCAAGCCGTAAAAATCACTAGACTTTTTATCTTTGACAAATCCCCCTAATGTAGCACATGCTATTTTGCCATCTTCATCCGGTTCGGTGCTTTTGCGCAAAATATGCCCTCTTTCTATCTTTATACAATGTTTAAAGTTAAAAGACTTACTTTTTATAATAACTTTAATTCTATCGAAAAATCCCTTATCTAACTGCTTCAATCTCTGTTGAAGAATTTTAGAATCTGTACCTCTGTCCGTGAATATTTTAAATGTCCCATCCTCCCATATTCCGAAAGAGTTGACACCATTTTCCCTGAGAAGAAATGGGTTAATATGAAAGACATATGATTTATAAACTTTAAAACGTGAAAGTAATTTTGCATGAAACCAAACGAAAAAATAGCGATTCTTACTTGTAAAGAAAACTTTTAATTTTGTCTGGAACACATGGTCTTTCATATTTCCAGGCTTTAGTGTACAATTTCGTCATTGGATTGTCTTCTACGTTAAGATGTTTTAAAATAGATTTCATTTCCAACACAACTTCTCTCAAAGCTCTGTTTTCAACGTGTCCAAGGGCATTTTCATGCTCATTTATATTCCGAATTAAATTTTCCAACATTATTTTAAGTTTTTTCTCAAGGCACATTGTTATAGCATTCTGTACACTGATTTTTTCATGCTCAACAATATAAACATTTTCTGTCCGTTGCACATATTCTTTATCATAAATATGCTCAGATTTCTTCACTATAATCGTATGACATGTTTCCCCTGCATATGCCTGAATAGTACAAATACATTCAAATATATTATCAAGCACCATAAATAATAGCCACCTTAAAAATAAACATCTTAAAACTGTGAATGAAATTCCAATTTTCTCAGGAAAAAAAATTAGGAAACATTTTGAAAAATAAATTCTCTACCCCCAAGAAATCTGTATCTCCGTCTGGAAAATATACCAAAGGTGAGATTCACTCCACAATTCACCATTCCCAATATATGGTTTACCTGTATTTAATTTAGAAAAAATGGCTATCACCATTTAAGTAAATCAATTTCTGAATATGTTTAAAGTTAATATACATGTACAATACTTTTTTTCTGAGATAATTCAACTCACATGAATTTGTGATTTAAAAGGTTAAAATGAGGCTCACCAGATTTTTTTGATACAAGTGTCAAATTCTCTTTATTTAAATCTCCAATAAAGCAGATCCTGATGAACACATTATCTTCAGATTCCATGGGGTAATTTTCCAGTAGAATTTTGTATTTGTCTGTATATTCTTTGAGACGTTTCACACAGTCAACTACTAAGCTATACACATAACGAAAATGTGGAAAACTTGTGCATTTGTAATAAAGGTCTCTTTTTCTTCCTAAAAAATAGATTATAATGAACCTTTAAAACTACCAAGAAATGCAAATTTCGAAATTACTCAAAATTTCTAATTTTATTTTAAATGTACCTCTCTGAAACTTTTTCAACTCGGATTAAAATATACAAGAGGCCCATGGGCCATATCGTTCACCTGAATAGCTTTGACCATGCTATTCTTTACCAGATTTCCCCATAGTAATACATATTGTGACCCCACCCTACCCCACGGGTCATAAATTGGACAATTTAAATCTACACTACACCAGGATTTTTTTTAATAAGTTTCAGCTTTTCTGGCCCGGTGGTTCTTGAGAAGAATAATTTCAAAGATTTTTCCTATTTGTTTCTATTTAAAACTTTGATTCCCTATTGTGGCCCCGCCCTACCGCTATGGTCATGATTTGAACAATTTAGAATCAACACTACCCCGGGATGCTTCCACATAAGTTTCAGCTTTCCTGGCCCAGCGGTTCTTGAGAAGAAGAATTTTAAAGATGTTTCCTTTTTATTTCTATGTAAAACTTTCACTAAAGTAGCCCCGTCCTAACCCGCAGTGGTCATGATTTGAACAATTTAGAATCTTCACTACCCCGGGATGCTTCCACATAAGTTTCAGCTTTTCTGGCCAAGTGGATCCTGGGAAGAAGATTTTAAGAGATATTTCCCAAACATTTCTATGTAAAAATTTAATTCCCTATTGTGGCCCCGCCCTACCCCCGGGGGTCATGATCTTTATAATTAAGAATCTACACTACCCCAGCATGCTTCCAAATAAGTTTCAGCTTTCCTGGCCCGGTGAGTCATTTAAACTTTGATTCCCTATTGTGGCCTCTCCCTACCCCCCCCCCCCCTCCCCCAGGGGTCATGATTTTTACAATTTAAAATCTATACTTCCCCAACATGCTTCCACATAAGTTTCAGCTTTTCTGGCCCGGTGGTTCTTGAGAAGAAAAATTTTTAATAACCCCACCCTGTTTTTGTCTTTTCTTAATTATCTCCCCTTGTGAAGGGACTTGGCCCTTCATTTTAAGAATTTAAACTTCCCTTTACCCAAGGATGCTTTGCACAAGTCCCTGCATTTTAAGAATTTAAACTCCCCTTTACCCAAGGATGCTTTGCACTCAGTTTGGTTAAGATTGGCCCAGTGGTTCTTGAGAAGAAGTCAAAAATGTGAAAAGTTTACAGATGGACGGACAGACGGAAGACGGACAGCTAGGCGGACCGACGACGGACAAAATGTGATCAGAAAAGCTTACATGAGCCTTCGGCTCAGATGAGTTCATAAAAAGGTAAAACATTAAATTAAAACATATATATTTATTCTCTGTCAAAAAGAACTCGAAAGACTTTTTTTAATCACGAATTATTTCATTTTAAAAAGTGTAACAGTGAAGGGAATATAAATCTTTTTTTTTTTGGAGTTGATGGGCTTCTTTATTTTTATTTTGTTGGCATGAAGGGTAGTTTATAGTTGAAAAAAGTATAAGAAATAAAAAGATATATTCACCATTATTTGTGTAGCATTTATTGCTATCGAATTAATTAACTGATCAAGTGGTATAACGTACCGTATTTCTCTAGTTCTGAGCCTGTGTGAAATCGTGACTGTTGATTCTTTTTGAATAATTTTCTCCTTTCCTTAGATAACATGTCCTGAGAAAATGTAGTAAAATTACATAAACCTGTCTGATTAATTCATGAATACTTAAATCCAGAACAAAATCACTGCAGAATATATCCACAATATCTAGATAAGTTTGTTTATATACTCGTAGTTATGAAATATAATACATGAAAAGGTCACTTACATAAATTGTGTGCCCTTCTTCGCAACACTCCACAAGTGATATAACACTTTCAATTCTTGCAGTTTTCATCCTATTTTCCTCAAGGTCACTCCATAGATACTCAATAACCTCAGGGTGATACTCAATGGCATTCGCTTTAATGTCTTCAAGTGTCTTTTGAACACTAATTGAATCCACTTTATCTCTAACAAGTCCCCGAAGAAGACTTTGAGTTTCCAACAATACATCGCTAACACTTTCAACTAGATCTTCACTGCTAAGAACTTTGCGGATAGTATTCTGCAACTCGAGAACCTGGAATTTAGTTTTCTCTGGGAGCTCACAAATGTCCAGAAGCATGTACATTATAAGTGAAACACTGGGGGTAAAAGATGTCTTTACCTCGTATTGACAGAGACAAGCTCCTGGAAAGCCACACGTTTCAGAGAAATGCACAAAAATACTCTTCCAGTCATTCATAGTCAGGGGTGGAATTGAGTGCTTATTATACTTCGTATTTTCTGTATTGCATTTGCAACACTTTTGCTTTTTGCACAAATGAAAAAGGTCATGTTTATGTCGCACAATAAAGTCCTCAGGCGATTGTTTTGTTTCTTCTTTAATCTTGATCTGTAAAACATTTTTTCCTCCAACGAGAAGAAGTGCATACACCTCTAATACAGCAGAGTTTAAAAGATACCTTTCTTCTTTGTCGGACATTGTGCTTTTGGCAATGGATATTTGATGCAATTTTACGTTTCTCTAAATTCTTGATGCCTAAGAGAAAAATACAGATACAAGTGATAGATATAGATCTAAATACTTTATTAAAACTAATTTAAAAATGAAAAAGAACGTATGTAATTGAAAATCACAGCATTTTCTTTAGAAACATATTATTTCGTAATAATTGATTTGCCCTATATTTTTAGTTTGAGAAGAGATTATCCCATATTTTAATGATTTTATAAAAATCGAAAAAATAAAATAATTTGCTGAAAAAGTTCGTCTTTCAAACAATTTTAGATATTTTTGATAACTGAATGACAACATAGTATCTATTATAATGATTACCATATTCTTTAAAACACAAAATCTGACTTGACCTTTCTATCATTACTACATGATTTAATACATGATCTGCTAATAGAATAAATTCTAAACAAGTCGTTTAAAATCTGTGTGCTCCCTATACTTTACATCAGCCACCAGGTAATCCATATCAAATCAACTGCAGTGTGGAAGTACTTACCTTCATAAAGCATAAAGAGAATTATGTTATACCGCAGTGCCTTCCACTGTTAAATATAGCCGCTTAACTATAAAATTTCAAAATATGCATCACGTGATAACTATTGTTTACTTTATTTCATGTCAATAATACAATATTTTAGTACACTCTATTGTTGTCGCATACATGCAGGTTCAGCCTGCAGGTAACACCACTTTTTTTTTACTTCTTGTAGAAGGAAAATTTTAGATACAGTCTTACTTTCTAAAATTTTACGTTCTTTGAATTTTTTTGTAGGCTTTAATATTGATTTAAATTTGTGTTTAACATACGCAAAAATACAAAAACCTATTAGAAGAAATATACGGAAAAAAAACTGTAAAAACTAAATCATAATATTTTAATGATACAAACTTTGTGTCTAAAAAAACCTTTTTAATTTTCTTTATTTTTAAAAGCAAATCACTGTGAAATAAAATATATGGAGAACGCGAACAGTATTCAAATTCAAAAGTCCATTTAACAATACATGTACAAATCAGGAGCAGAGCAAACACGGACCTCCAAGTCAAAAGCGGTGTTTTTTTGGACGAATAGATTTTTAGTACATAAATGCACCAGCGACTATTTAATATTTACAGACTACAGTATCTTTATTGTATTATAATGTTTTAATAAAATTCTTATTTTTTCTGATAAAGCAAGTACTTTAATCTGTAATATGAACCAAAGCCTGATTGAACATTTAATAACTCAGAAAAAACCCTTGGCTGTTGTATTGCGAGCATATTGTTATTCTCTCATGATTTGCTTAATATTAAATTGGTATGAATTTAAGTTTTTTAAAAAAATTATAGTACATTAATGTGCCCTAAAACGTTTTCAGAATCATATATTTTGATTCAATTGTACCTAAACTAATGCCAGTTCAGGATGATTCAAAGATATAATGATGATTTGAAATATTAAAAACAAGAGGCCCATGTGCCACATCGCTCACCTGAGCACTGTGGCTAGGAAAAAGCAGAAATGGTTTATACTCGAAAAGCTTAAATCCAAAAGTAGTCCCAAGACCAATCATGGCTTTGCTATTCTTGAGAAGAGGATTTTTAAAGAATTTTCCTATACATTTCTATGTAAAACTTTGGTCGGCCATTTTGGCCCCGCCCTACCCCTGGGGGTCATGATTTGAACAAACTTGAATCTACACTACCTGAGGATGCTTCCATATAAATATGATCAATAATGGCTTTGTTATTCTTGAGGAGAAGATTTTTAAAGAATTTTCCTATATATTTCTTTGTAAAACTTTGATCGGCCATTTTGGTCCCGCCCTACCCCTGGGGGTCATGATTTGAACAAACTTGAATCTACACTACCTGAGGATGCTTCCATATAAATATGATCAATTATGGCTTTGATATTATTGAGAAGAAGATTTTTAAAGAATTTTCCTATATATTTCTATGTAAAACTTTGGTCGGCCATTTTGGTCCCGCCCTACCCCTGGGGGTCATGATTTGAATAAATTTGAATCTACACTACCTGAGGATGCTTCCATATAAATATGATCAATTATGGCTTTGCTATTCTTGAGAAGAAGATTTTTAAAGAATTTTCCTATATATTTCTATGTAAAACTTTGGTCGGCCATTTTGGCCCCGCCCTACCCCTGGGGGTCATGATTTGAACAAACTTGAATCTACACTACCTGAGCATGCTTCCATATAAATATGATCAATTATGGCTTTGCTATTCTTGAGGAGAAGATTTTTAAAGAATTTTCCTATATATTTCTATGTAAAACTTTGGTCGGCCATTTTGGCCCCGCCCTACCCCTGGAGGTCATGATTTGAACAAATTTGAATCTACACTACCTGAGCATGCTTCCACATAAATATGATCAATTATGGCTTTGTTGTTCTTGAGGAGAAGATTTTTAAAAATAAATTTCCTATATATTTCTATGTAAAACTTTGGTCGGCCATTGTGGCCCCGCCCTACCCCCAAAAGTCATGATTTGAACAAACTTGAATTTACACTACCTGAGGATGTTTCCCCATAAGTTTCATCTTTCCTGGCACAGTGGTTCTTGAGAAGAAGATTTTTAAAACATGCTACCAAATTTTCATTAATTCCCAATTATCTCCCCTTGAATGAGGGCGTGGCCCTTCATTTGAACAAACCTGAATCCCCTTCACCCAAGGATACTTTGTGGCAAGTTTGGTTGAAATTGGCCCAGCGATTCTTGAGAAGAAGTCGAAAATGTGAAAAGTTTACAGACGGACGGACAGACAGACGGACGGACAGACAGACGGACGCCGGACAAAATGTGATCAGAAAAGCTCACTTGAGCCTTCGGCTCAGGTGAGCTAAAAACTGAATACGCAATTACTTTAACTAAAAAGTGAGTTTTCTTATGCTAAGGGGACGACCATTTGATTCTGAGGGGGGGGGGGGGCTGGGGGGGCTGGCAGATTTTGGAAATAAATAATTTGTCCCTGAAAATATTGAAAATAAATAATCTGTCCTCCTCTGCAAAGAAAATAAATAATCTGACCTTGCCTTATGATATTTAAATATTGTGAAAAATACCTTTTTTATTTACGTGTAATTTCATCTCAAAAGTCTTCAATTCAAAAAAAAATTTTTGGCTCGCTTCGCTCGCCAATTTAGAACCAAATAGTATTTCAAATCAGATTACCAGACTGGATACTTAAGTCAGATTGTCAACCTGACAATGTGCACTTAGTAGGTGTGATGAATAACAGTACTTTAAATACAAGCCATGCAATTCTTATACACCACAAAAGATAAATTTTCTTGTCGAAGAATTACACTTCCCCGATAAATTAATACAAAATATACACTGGTAGATTTAAGTGGAAAGTACATGTGTACAACCCCTCCCCTAAAATTTCAAAGTATGATACGAATAATAATAATAATGCCATACTTTGGGACAATACCAATATTTTTGTGCCTAGTTTTACTATTAAAATATACAAAAACCCAAGAGCTTCAGGGGGCTTTGCCCCCTGGGCCCTTTTCATTCAAAGTATGAAATGACTAGTATAAATAATGTCATATTTGCGTACATGTCTAACCAATTCCTACACAATTGTGTCTGGTTTTAGTCTTTTACATACAGAAAAACCCAAGAGCTTCAAGGGGCTTCGTCCCCTGAACCCCCTTCATTCAAAGTATGGTATGACCAGTATTAATTATGTCATACTTTGGTTCATAATAACCAATACCACTAAACAGTGCCTGGTTTTACTCTTAAAATACAACCCAAGAGATTCGGGGGTGGGGTGGGGGGTTACTCCCTTGGCCTCCACAAGGGCTTCACCCAAATCATGTATCTGCCTGTGGTATATAAACGATTAGTCTTTTAGAATCAATTGATCACGGTACGGGAAGACAAAGAAGAAAATAAATAATCTGTCCTTTATAATCTTGAAAATAAATAATCTGTCCTCGACAGGCATTAAAATAAATAATCCGTCTAAAAAAAAAATTGCCAGCCCCCCCCCCCCCCTCAGGATCAAATGGTCGTCCCCTAAAAGAAAGCCCGCTACTACTGAATTGAGCATGTAAATTTCTCTATCATTTTTATGCCACTCAGGCACTTGTACGTTAATGTTACTTGTACTTCAAAATGTAAAACAATGTATTACGTATACATTTTTAATTCAAATCGACTTAAGCTCTTTTTATCATAGACTGTCCATACATTAAGAAATCATTTATGAATTTGGGACAAGGTTTCAATGCATCTTATTCATTGTGTTCTCATAATTTTCCTGTCCACTCCAGAATAATATCACCGTTGGTAAATATGAATATATATGATCATCTCAACTAACAATGCTATAAAATCGATCAATCGATTATAAATCAAGAAAAGATTTACATATTTTAGGAGCACAAATATCTGTTATCAAATGAAAAGAGAGACCATAGAACAAGGAGAATTAAGTCGAGGCATAACAACCATAAATCATCACAAGAGTTCAAATGAATGTCTTGTAAATGTCTCCTAGGTTTACACAGACTGACAGAAATTGTTTGTACTGGTTTGTACATCCTCTTCTACGATCGTTATGCATACATAGGTGGTTGACATTCATAAAGCGTCTTTTATATAAAGGCAGTCGTGGGGGGGGGGGGGGGTATTTATTCTCAACCCAAAGAAAATTATATACTTCTATTCCTACGTCTATGCTAATTTGAAAATCAATACGTTTTATAAGAAACAAGACCCCAAAAATTGAAATTCAAATGATAAAAATGTTAGAATATTTTTGCAGAAAAATTCAAACAAGCGGCCAAAAAAAATTCTGCTTTTTCTGTATATGTTTATTTAAAGGAGAAATTTTGCCTTTTGTCTAGGCAAATTGACCAATGATACTATGATTTTCTATTGCACTGATGATGCAACCAGTGTATCAAAGAGTTTTTTTTGTAAGTCTTATGCTCGATACAATGACCCTGTCGGCAATTTCAAATTATTATTAAGTCATAAGACTTTTTTC